TGACCAACATCTCAATCAAATAGAATGCGTCAACGGTAGAACTTGTAAGCTTATTTCAATATTTAAAAAACTAAGTTACGTTACAACGACTAAGTTGATATATCAAATTTATACATAGGTACATATTTTGCTCAATCAGATTCAGAATATTGCATAACGGTTCAGGGAAGAGCGGCAAATACTAACTTTTTGAACATAGAAGGAGGAGAACGATACCTTCTTAAAAGTTACTATTCTTAAAAGTTATGTACATACTTTAAGCCTATTATATAATTAACGGAGCTACAGTATAGTATATGTGACGTTCTTACGGATAGGCAGCTATTATATCTTGCAGATAAATTCAAAAACACATCCAAAAAAACTATATATGTGGGGACCTATGACGTCATTAAACAAGTTTATGTAAAATTTAAGATTTACTGAGAGACAGTACAGTGTCCTATCAAGATATATTTACAACTAGCGATACGTCCCGGCTTCGAGGGCTGCTACTATAGGACCTTTCCTTTCCGTCGTATGTCAGTTCTTTGAGCTATATGCCGGTCACTTCAACTTATTGGTCCGTTTTTGTTTTTGGTTTTGTTTAGTAAGCGTTGATTTGTTATGTGTATAAGACATAATTTGTCATGTAACTTTGCAAAACAACAAATATATTACAACTTATCTAGTATAGCTGCTTCTAGCAAGTTCGTCAATAAGTCCATTACTGCCACTAGAAACTTATTTGCCAGGAAGTTAGTTAATTCTATCATTGTGGATAAGAAAGTTTTGTTACACTTTCGGGTTAACTAGGATTACTTAAAAAACTCCTATATATTATCGCAAATTTTTTGTCATCATATTTTTCATCAAAAATTATTAATATACATATAATAAAAATGTAAAATTTAGATCCATCGTATCATGTATAAAATAATGATTTATATCAAAATAATCATCAAGAAATTTGTGAAGCGTATTTTAAATTTAGTTTTTGTTTTATTAAAATCGGTTCATCCTGTCAAAAGTTATGATTAATATTCTGAAGTATGGGTACGAAATATAGATACGAATTTGTTCAATGGCGCCACCTATGAACAAATTCGTGAGTGATCAAGGACATCTTTGTAATTAAATAATGTAAAATAGTGTTCTGTATTGATACTAGTATTGTATTTAAACACAGTAATTAAAATAATAAAGAAAACGTTATAAATATTTATAAAAAATATATAAATCCTAATTTCTTAGTAAAAAAAAATGTTTGAACCCACAGGCCGTCCCTGGCACAAATGCAAAGCGCTCCAAATTTCACCAAATCATGACGTTGAATATGAAATATCGAAGTAATTTAAAAAAAATATATTTTTCAAAATTTTTCGTTGATGATATCACACGAACGAAACTACCGATTTTGACCGAAATGGCGGCGATCGACGTGGTTTTTCAAGGTTAAAAGTTGATTGGGTCATTTAAATCGTAAGGCCATTTAAAAGTTATTTAAATTTTTAAACGGCTTTACCGATATTTGTTTTTGAGATTTCTCTCTCTCTCTCTCACACACACACACATACACGCACACACACACACGCACGCACACACACACACACACACACACACACACACACACACACGCACACACACACACACACGCACACGCAACACACACACGCATACGCGCGCACACATACGCTACACTACATATTTATAAATTTTAAGTAGGTGTACTTATCGCCGAGTACCAACAACACGGTAAATCAATTTTTGAGAGAAATATTAACAATTTCTTTGGTTTCGGCGAGGATCATAGAAGCTTAGCAGTAAACATATTATTATACTTTTTTTTAGTTATTCCTCAGTAGTTCCCGACCAAACGACTGCACTTACCTAAAGCAGAATTTGCTTTAAAGCATACGTTGCTAAGGTGAGTGTTCCTCGTTAGTTTTTGGTCAAGATTGTTACGCCCAAGTACTTAAATTCAGTGGAAAATTGTGCTTTGCCGTTAGGTTTTGGTGTGACTAATTTGTTCAACCGTTTCGTTTTAGTAAAGGGTATTTATTATAACAGTTTCATCAGTATTAATTGATAAACTGTTATCCCTAAACCAGTTAATTATGGTGTTTAGAGCTCTTTATATGATTTTGATTTGATTATTATACATCCCTTTTGCATTTCCACAAGTTTTAAAATTTACACTGTCGTGAAATTGAAAAATTACGTTACCCGATTATGAGTTTTTTTTTTTAATATTATTCCTACTCGTTCTTTTCTAAATATCATATAATTTTTATATTAGAGTAATAATAAATTAACTATCATAATTTTATATAGATGGGATTTTAAGTATACGGGGGGTAAGTTGCTCGCGTCCGTTGGCTTCGTGCTTAATGAGCGACGAGCCGAAAGTACAGACTCGGTTCCTTGCCGTGGTAACGGCGTAAATATACCACTCCATATTTCGCACCATGAGAAACCAAATAAAAGAAATGACCTGATGATGGCCAAGGGTGCGAAGAATCCAAGAAAACCAGCGAAGAGGTTCGCCACCCGTCACGTTCTGTCTCTCTCTTGCAAAAGCCCATCTGGCTACGCTGAATGTATGTTCAGGCGTATTGATGAGAAACTAGTTCGTCTTCATTTGGGAACACGTGCATTCTGGTCTCTCGCCAAGGCTGTCCTAGGGAACTTCTACCAGCCATCTCTCCCACCTCTGCACAGGTGGGACTACTCACTGGCCACTTTCACTCAAAGGACTCTTGTCGACGGGGGAACAGACCGCCGACCATCCCGCGGAGTGAGTGCTCCATGCAGGATGTCCTGTTTACCCAACGCTCAGTGCGTAGAACACTCCTCTCCCTGTTCGTCAACAAGTCGTGTGGACCGGATGGCGTCCCTCCTATTGTGCTGAAGACGTGTGCTCCAGAGTTGGGACTGGTTTTAACGCGTTTTTTCCGATACTCCTACTCTTACGGCGTAGTCCTAAAATCATGGAAGGGAGCCCTCGTGCACCCGATCCCTAAAAAAGGTAACTTCTCTGATCCGTCCAACTATAGGCCTATCGCCATCACCTCCTTGTTCTCTAAAATAATGGAATCCATTATTAACAGCCAGCTCATGCGGTACCTTGAAGATCACCAGCTGATTAGTGACCGCCAGTACAGTTTCCGTCGCGGTCGCTCGGCTGGTGACCATCTGGGTTACCTAACTCATAAAAGGGCGGAGCCAGTATAGTCCAAGCCTCCCCCTTGGCCGTTAGTTTAGACATAGTGAAGGCCTTCGATCGGGTTTGGCACAAACCGCTTCTTACGAACCTTCCTTCCTATGGGCTTCCCGAGAAATTGTGCAATTGGATCACCAGTATTCTTGCTGATCGGGGCATCAAGGTCGTAGTAGACGGCGCATGCTCCGATTACAAGCCCATTAACGCTGGTGTTCTCACCATCGCTGTTTCTTCTGCATAATATAACGCTCCCCCTCTTACTAACTGTATTATATTATTTATAATTAGGTAATTTTCCCCTTTAAAATAAAATTATACATATGACCAGGATAAATAAAATATGTTTTGATCTTCCTAAATGATCTTTCTTAAGGTTTGATAATAGGCCGTTTATAAGATTTTTGACGTGATCGTCTTAGTTAGGACCCTTATTTGCTTTGTGTTTGTTTAGTAACTTAGTTCTTTTAGGAGTTTTTTGGAAGAATGAATATTCACTAGAGCATATGAAAGCTGTTGGTAGTGCCTGATAAGCTAAGTGAACCCCTTTCACGAACACAAGGCTCGAGAAAGGTTAAGAACATAAAAACGTCCACGTGTATCAGGTTTACATTATTAATTTATTATTATTTATCCCTTCCCGCTTGGAAAAGTCTCAAAATATGTATATATACTAAAATAACCGATACAAGGGTTTTGCTCTCCCACATTCATTGAAAAAAAAATGTGGGGAAAGCACAATGGTCTACACAGGCCGTTCATGGTGAGCGCCAACCATTTTGATGCACTCTCCCCGAAGAGAACGCTAATTCGGGAACTGGACCGTTGTCCACAGCAAAATAACCGGCAAACCAGTAAAAGAGGGCTTGGTCCCTTGGTAGTGCGTAAGCACAAACATCGACCGAAGTCGCGCATGTCAATGCGTGTAAATGCCATACAGAATACGACCGAATCCAGCCACAGTGAATGTACGTCACACAGTTTAGGCAAATAAGCACACTGGCCGTAAACCCTCCGTGCGTGCCACCACCTGCCAAACCGCCGCTCCTTTATACGTGATGTAAGTGTATGGCATCACCACCAATTGCTTGATCAGCACGGCTACTAGAAGCAGATCGTGTCATGAGTCTACCGCTCACCTCAAGGGAATGGGGTCCCACGTTGTGCGGCCGCAGCCTTGCGAGTCTCCTCAGATTCTCCCTCCAGCTACCACCCGCATGAGGTCGACACAATCAATACAACGGCAGACAGCCAAAAGGCAGTTATAAGATGTTAGTATTAATTTGTCATCAGAAAGGGTTTGTGAAATGACGTTGGGTTTATGCATTTTCGATCATGTTTGTCTCACCCACTAACAAGTTGCCTTCAATCATTCAAAGGTGGGAAAGTTACAGAGATATATTATTATGTTGTTATATAAAATATCATGGAAGTCAGACAGTCTGCAGCCCCGTAATGAAGGTGTATAAATAATGTGGTTGTTAAGAAGTTATATAGATTGTTGAACAATAAATTAAGGTTAAAGGAGGTATAGGATACCGAGTCTGTAATGTTATAATACAAATATGTTAGCTATAATATTAACAAATTTAAAGGAAAAATCATTATTTTTCCTAAACCAACCAAACATTAACTATAACTAAAACTGCAATGGTAATAATATAAAATCGCAATAGTATAAGGTATATAATCCTTTAACAAATAGCAAAAAGGCTAGAGTATATTGACATATAAGTACAAAATAAGGCATGTATTAAGAATAAGGTCAGTAAGAATCTGTATAGGTTATTTAACAATAAAGTTAAGTTAAATCAATATCGAGACCTACCTTTTTAGCGCATAGCACCACGGTATTGGTAGGGTTTTCACTGTTTTTCTCCGGTAATCCTGATATCTTCAGGTCATTGGCCAGGAGGTCCTGATCTCTCTCATTAAGTTGGCCTCGAAGTTCACTTATCGTGTCCTCTAGTGTTTTAGTGTCGCACTTAATCAAACGTTCTTCATATAGTTTTTCCAACTTGGTGACTCTGCAATCCATTTTCTCCAGGTTTTTATTACACACAAGAACTGTATCCTTTAGCATAGTTATATTGTCTCTCACTTCCTTCAACTCATTCCTCATAGCGCTAAGCTCATTTCGAAAAAGATGAATTTCTAAACCTATATTGATATCTTTATGGGTAGGACTACTGTCACCAACTTCTTGGCACTTGGAATGGTCTCCAGTGTGAGGAATCTTATTTTTACAGGCAGGGAACATCCATGAATCTGATATCTTCGTCTTCTGAGACAGGTTCAGACAGCTTCGATGACAGGCTACATCACATTTGTCACATATAATATCATCTGTCTCCGGCAGGTAGCGACCACAGGCTCCACATTTGACCATGGTGAGTTGATTGTGATAGACTTATTTATATCGCGTTTATTTATTTATGTACGTTGGAGCGTCTTACACCAAGTAGACCAGTAGCCAAAAGTGGGCAATAAATACAAAACTATTGATCACCACTAATGACCAGTTTTTTAGTTAACACAACACACAATTGTTGACTTTTTTTTTTAAATTATTATAACTAATCTAGAATTAAACTTTAAAAGTTCACTGTAACAATAATTATTGCAGAAAAGATAATAGACATAATGTTTGTTAACAAATGAATATGTAACATGAACAGAGTAATGTTAAAATTTAAATAAAATTTAAATTAGTGATTATAACGGGGTAGATCGATATCGATGATAGTTTTATTTTAACACTTTTAATTTTAGTGTTTTGATTTCGCTTAACTAATGTCAGATTTTTCGACACAATGTTCTGAATTGTCATACACACTCACTTTTACAACTTTAAAGGATAGATAATTATTTTAAATAAAGCAAATTAGAGTACTACACTGACAACAACATTACTCGCTCGACGGTAGGTCGCAACGGTTCCTGCAATTGAACTCATATAGCTGATGTGAAGAATTGATGCTCCAGGAAGTCTGCGGTATGTGAATACGTACAGGATCGCCCCCGTTGCTATTTTCGATTTGATAGACCACAAATCCTTGCTAAAGCACACCGATTCCTTCCAAGGATGGAGGACTCGCGAGGCTATTGAAATAAAAAAAAAACCTAATTTCAATAGAGGAAGGAGATGGCTGGGTGCTACAACTAAGCTTACAACTCATACTTCAAGATATTCTAAAGTTCATACTGCGTAAATCGGAACAAAATTATTAATTTTAATCTGGTGGTACCCTGTAGGAGGTCTTTAGGTGGTTAACTATGACATTGGAAAGTCGAACACATCAGACCTCCCGTGATTATGAGTGCTGTAAAGTGCTCTAAATGTTGGAAATATAAAATAAGTCAATATACGTGATTAAATCCATAAAATTAGTTTTGTTTCAATACTCTCTACTTAACAAGTCCATGGCTGAACATTTTCTGATCGGTAGTGGATTTGCAAAGGGCTGTAATGGATCATCATCATCATTATAGCCCTTCAAAAATTTAAAAACAACAAAACCATATCTTGGGCTTGCTCTAGTTTGCCCTTGTTGAGCCCTAGATTCGCCACTGACCCCAAGTACAGCACTTGCAATAACTCGGCGAGTGTCCTTGAACTTTTTCATGCGGTCAGTGGAGAAGGCCAATTAATCACTGACAAGACCATAGAATACTATAATACACAATAGTATGGCTGTCAACCTTGTTTTGTACGACGATCGGCGTCGCCGGGAGCACACATACAAGCAATTACCACGTCGTATTATCGGTTATCACTACTACAAACACATTTTAGACTTTTGAGTAAAGTTTTTGACACATAAATATTTCTTTGTTTTTGTTTCTAAATTCACAAAATATAAATAGTCGAAATTATAATATAGTTCGACTTAATGGTTGTAGAATATGTCTCCTTTATTTAAATTCCATTTGCCGCTGTTCTTTCGACACGTAATTGTTGCACAATTTGTCATTTTTTAAATAATTTGCATGCAGCGACGCTTGACATGAAAATTGGAAACGATTGACTGTGTTGACATTTATAGGTGTGAATTGACATGGTAGTGACATGTTAGTGGCTAAACTGGCTCCACCCACTCCCCCCGTTCTATTATGTATGTATTATAGTATTCTATAGACAAGTCGCACTGGTTGAGTATTCTTGTTTTCAAGTTTGAGGTATTTCTAAAGGTACACCTGTAACGGATAATAACATATATTATAAAGTTACAGCGTATAAAAGTATCTCTTCTTATATTTTAGAGGATTTTTAGGCCAAGGACTTGTCGTCTCGTTGCCGAAATAACAATTAATTCCTCGGACATGCCAATTTTCTTTCACCGTCGATCATGTGGTAAAGCAGCACTTATAATTGCAATTAATAATTTCCTTGGTCCGGGGAATTGAACCGAGGTTGCTCGCGTACTGCGAAATTTAAAAAGCGCTTAGCCTCTAGGCTACCACGGCTATATTGAGTTCTTGAAATCATACTATAATCATATTCTTATCCATACGTTGTAAATATACCAAACGTTTGGACGAAGTGTTTTGCTTCGTTATTTATATTACGTAAAGCAAAAGATTAAAACAATGTGCTTGCGTCAGTCTTCCCATCTTGTACAATATGCAATATTGGTGTATTTTTTTCCATAAAACTGATGTGACGGACGAACCTGCAACCCATGTGATGGCAATTAGCCGCTGTAGATTATAAACTTATGACAAAGTAGGCTACAGTTGCATTGTCGCCTTTAAGGACTAGGGTGGGATGCTTCACAGCTTTAAATTGTACTAGCTCTTAATACATTTCAATAGAGAACACACCAATGAAGGCACTGCTATTTGGCGGCAGGAAAAGGTAAGAAGATGATGCCTATCCAGATAGATTCTTCAGCCGAAAATGAGTCCCACCTAGTGTCTTTAAAAGAAAAGAAATAATGTTTTACTAGACTACTACAAGCTCGCATCACCATTCAAATTGGAATCGTTATTTAAGCTTATAATTTACTAAGAAAATGGTGAACGAAGATTCCTCTCATATTTCAAGCTTCATGTCAAGATATTGAAATAATTTACATACATACTTAGATTAAAAAAAAACTTACGAAATTATGAAGAAGCAGTCCACCGCTTCTTATTCAGGTTGCTATTATTTTTTGCAGCGTTTCAATATTTTAACGTTGTTCAATAACGTGTATGTAAACAAAACATTATTTATATATTAATAAGAGTGACAAACGATCACACAGCCCACCTGATGATAAGTGGATGCTGTGGGCCACAGACATCTAAATCTATCCTCGATTAAGAATCCAAATGCAAATGTGCTGTCACCTGTGAGTACCAATATGAAATGGCTCGTTTTCATTAAAACGGCTCTCCGGTTCTCTACGTTCACCATACGAAACATGGCAGCATTAAGCTGTTATTTAACGCTGGTATTCTGTGAGAGCGTGGTACTTCTCTTGTCGGGTCGACCAATTTGTGCCACAACTACAATATTATATGGCTGCAGCAATGCATAGATATTATACTATGTAAATAATCAAAATAAATTAATCTAGTTGTTTGATATGACGTTCGTAAAGATTGCTTAGACATCCGGAAGTGGAAGAAAATTGAATTATAATATTTCATTACATACATACATACAGAATTATATACATACCTCGTACATACCCAATCAGTAAGCACATATTCTGAAAAGAAAAGAAAGCCTTGTCGTGTTCCCGTCTGTATGGTATGGACAGCCAGTACGCTAATAGACTGGGAAGCATTTCATCTTAGTCCACAGAGGCGGAGTTTGAAATTTTTTGGTTAGTAATTTTAATGAACAAAAATTTTATTTTTTTGAATTCTGTTATTTACCTTTAATTACAATAGTAGACAAAATGCTCAAATTCATAATTAAAAAACTTTTGGTAAGTCAAAATGGGCATGGCTTAAGCATTGCTGTTATACGTCAATTTTTAAAGTATTTTAAATACTCGGTATAATCTAAGTCTATCTTAAATAGACTTAGATTATACCCGAGAAAAGGTTCACAGCAGGACTGTAAAAACTACCGTGGTATCAGCCTTCTTAGCATTGTGGAAAAACTGTATGGTAAGGTGCTAATTGAAAGAGTTATGAAAGAGACTGATGGAAAAATTTGGGATGTGCAAGCGGGATTTAGGATGGGAATGGGGTGTACAGATCAAATCTTTTCGGCGGCGAAAAACCAAAAAGTTTTTTGTGCGTTCATGGATTTGGAAAAGGCTTATAACAGAGTGGACAGGGATGTGTTATGGCAAACACTGAACTCATTTAGGTTGAACGCTGGGTTGATACAGGCACTAAAGTCTCTGTATAGGGACTCGAGTGCTTGTGTTAGGATCAACGGGGCCTACTCGGACTGGTTTGGCATCCATAAATGTGTCAGACAGGGCTGTGTAGCTTCCCCGTGTTCAACCTATTTATGGACAGCTGTTCGGAAAATTTGAAAATTGAAGAATGCGGGTTAAGGAGTTACCATCAAATGCCTTTTGTACGCCGATGATCAAGTCATACTTGCGTCGTCGGCGGCCGAATTGCAAATGATGGTTACATTAATGAACAGGTCATTAAAAAAAGGGGAATGAAAGTGAACGCAAGTAAGACGAAAGTGATGGTTTTTGAAAGAGAAAAAAGCAAAACAGTATGTGAAATAAGAATAGAAGGTGAGTTATGGAAGCAAGTAGATGAGTTCGTATATTCAGGATGTGTATTCAGCAGGGATGGGAGATATGATAAGGATATTGAACAACGAGTGAATGCAGGAAATGGGGCTCTACACTCTATTGTAAAAATTCAGAATGTGTCAAAAAGGGCACGTATGGCAATTCACAATGCTGTATTAGTCCCTACTTTAACGTATGGTAGTGAAAGTTGGGTGTGGCAGAAGAAGCACGAGATTAGAATAAATGCAGTAGAAATGCGGTCGCTAAGGAGTATGTTAGGGCTGAATCTGAGTGACAGGGTGAGAAAGTGTGTGATAAAAGAAGAGTGTAGTTTGCAAGATGATGCAGTGACCAGGATTAAGAAAGGAATGCTTCGGTGGTTTGGTCACGGAGAAAGAATGAATGCGGAAAGACTGGCAAATCAAATATATGTTGCAGAAGTGAATGGAAGAGTCAGAAAGGGACGTCCTAGGCGGAAGTTTGGCGACCAAATTGGCGATATACTAAAAATGGGCCAAATTAAGAGTACCCTTAACCGACCAGCATGTATGCGTAGGTATATGGATGTGGAAGAGGCGAGAGAGGTAAGTCAGGATCGTGCTAAATGGAAGTCTGTAGTCTCTGCCTACCCCTTTGGGTGATAGGCGTGAGTGTTTATGTTGTAATTTTCCGATAATTTTATGTCATATGTTAATAACAACAAGTTAGGAAAATCTAAAATTTGACGACTCATAATGATCATATGATCGTGAAAAATGTAGAAAAAAATTCTAAACCAACAACAGAAAGCATTTTTTCTATTTTACTATGTTTTTATTGTTGAGATTAAAATAAAATTTTTATTATTATTAATTGAAAAAGTTTTAACAGAACTATCTTAAAACGATCAGAATTACATTAATATTTAGATGTTTTTACTCAGTAAATATGATAAAAACTAGTTTTTTTTTGTATATTGATCTGCCAATTTTCGTATTATTCGTAGTTAGTTTTGTAGTATCGCTAAATTTCTTAATAATTTTACTAACTCTAGCAATCGGAGAATTGGAGCCAAACACTGTTCTACGATATGGTTCAGTCAATGGTGTAATCTTACGAGCATAACGCTGATAACGAAAGGGAACATACATACTGAATTTACTTAAAATTTCAGGAGAGCCAATAATACCACAAATAATTTTAGAAGCAAAAATTAAATCGATAATAACAAAATATCCCTGCGGTTTTCTAGAAAAATTATTTCAAAATAGATCAAATTATTTTCATATGATACACGCTTCTTATAAATTTTAAATCCAAATGCGTAAGACAAATGTCTTATGAATCTTTTTGGACCCTCTCGATTCTAGGTGAATGTGTAGCATAATGAGGTCTCCAGACTACAGCACTGTATTCTAATATACTTGTTACTAAACTGTTAAATAAAATAATTTTAATTTTAGCGCTTTGACAGACTTTGATATGTCTTATAACAAAACCCAAAATCTTAGATGCACGTTTAGTATTTTTTTCAATGTGGGGCACAAAAGTTAATTTTTTATCAAAAATAACCCCGAGGTCTCTAATTTGGTCTAACTGCTGCATATTATTATATCTAATGTGATAGCTATAGTAGTGTAACTTTTTCTCACATATTGCACATAGACACAACATGTACTAATGTCCTAGGTCCATACGATATACTTTGTACCATTGAATCAATTGATCAAAATAAAAAGAAGTTCGAGCCGCTCTGCGCTGGATGCGGTCAAGTGGAAAGAGCTGGCACTGGGGAGCCCCAGCCCAAAGATGGGAACAGTATTCCATGTGCGGTCGAACCTGCGCCTTGTAAAGTGGCAGGCCGTGTGCCGGCATGAAATACTGTCCCGGTCTGCTGAGCACGCCAAGCTTTTTAGAGGCCAATTTGGCCTTCTCTTCCAAGTGAAGAGAAGAACGAAACTGCAAGTCACTCGATATGTTGACGCCGAGGATTCCGATACTGGCTGAAGCAACAAGGGGAGTGCCTTGAAACTGAGAAGATACGACAAAGGAGTACTTTTTAACGGTTAACGCGCAAAATTGTGTCTTCTGGGGGTTAAACTGGACTAGATTTAGTCGCTCCCAATCCGAGACTCTGTTCAGTAAAGACTCGACTTTGGACACAAGTTTGTCCCGGCACTTGGAGACGTTTTCCCGAGAAATATTGTCTCGGCCGGTGTAAAAAGCATGACCAGTGCTGTCATCTGCATAGCAATGATTGTTATGGGTTTGCAACATATCATTGATATGCAGAAGAAACAGCGTTGGCGATAGCACGCAGCTTTGTGGAACACCAGCATTAATAAGCTTACAATCGGAGCTTGCGCCGTCTACAACGACCTTGATGCTCCGATCTGCAAGAAAGCTGGTGATCCAATCACACAATTTCAGCAAAAAAAAGGTAAACCTGCCCCCAAGCGTAGGATGCAAAGAAAGACTGCATCCCATCCCAATCGGCTGATCTATAGTGCCAAACACGACGGCAGCCTGCAGAATGCAACTGCGATTTCAGCGTGAGTGGCACCACACTCCGGACAAGACAATGGTCCGAGTAGCCTAAAGGGACGTCAACGAAAATCTGATATCCGTCCGGGTGAAAGGTCAGCAGAAGGTCCAACTGGGAAGGTGCATGATCCTCCACATCTGGAATCCACGTAGGCGAAGTAACCAGTTGTGGCAGACCATATGCCAAGGCAAAATCATGAACAGATCTCCCCGCATGATCGGTTAAAAGTGAACCAAGCAATTCGGCGTGATAGGCGTTAAAGTCGCCGAGGATCACGATCTCTGCGGAGGGGATCTGCTGTAGCAACGAATCTGTAGCCATTTGGACGTGGTCGAAGAGTCGGTCTGTTTCGGCATTACCGCTATGGGACCTATAGAGGCACCCGTAGACGCGCGGATGGTCGTCGCTGTCTACGCGTAGCCAAAGGATGGACATGTCCGAACCTTCAAGTCTGCCGAGGCGTCGAGAACAGATGTCCTCTCTGACGTAAACGCAAACTCCAGCCCGAGGCACAAAAGAGTGTTCCAGTTTGTACCCCGGGTAGGAGAGATACGAGACATCAGTCAGAAAGAGCAGAGCCGGCTTCGCCATCTCGAGATGGTAGTGGACGGCGTTTAGGTTAGAGTGAAGTCCCCTGATATTGCAGAAATTCACGGACAGCGTGGCAGGGGTCACCTTGGTCTTGTTGCTCCGTTTGCCCCAAGCAGTTGTAGTCTTGAGCGGAATTTTGCCCCCCCCCCCAGAATACGCGGGGCAGCCTGAGCACCCACGCTCAGAAATGGAGAAAAATGGTCGTGGATGCTCAGCGAGGGATTCTCCAGGGGTGCTGGTACCATCCATCATCATTTAATTCCACTACCATGTTGATGGGGGGGGGGAGATTTGGGCCTCCGGCCACCTGCACTCACCAGACGAAACGCGGAAGCAGAGCTTCCATTTCACGCCGGTATTCTGTGAGGTCGTGGTACCACCCCGGTTTGAGCCGGCCTATACGTGCAACAGCAAAGCTGTCGCGTAGCTCTACCACTATTAGCAAAGCTGCCGCGTGGCTCTACCACTGTTATAGATATAAAATAGCAGCTTAACCCTGCTGTGTTTTGTATGATGAGTGCAGAGAACCGGAGATCCTCTTTGATGAAAAAGGGGCATCCCATCTTAGTCCTCACGGGTGACAACGATCTGCATTTTGATTCGTGATTGAGGATTGATGTAGATTTCTATAGGCCGCAGCAAGAATTTACGATCAGGTAGCTAGCGTAGCAGGTAGCAGGAGTTCCAGTAGCAGATACCGAAGTACACCTTCAGGTTACTCCATAAAGTCCAAGATGTATAACAGAACATTGTAATGAAAATCTGTGATCATAATAATAATAATATCTTACCTTGGTCAAGTATGTATCAAATTTTGTTTTTGGAATATTTTGTATTTCTACAGAGATCGATATTTTTCATCACGAGCTGCTGTAAACAAACTATACATTAATATATTCACGACGGCGGCTGAGCCCGTAGTGAGTCAAAGTGTATCTGAATTTAGTAAAATGGATTATTACAAGGCTGCTCAAACACCGAAAACACCAAAATTTTCTAAATTTCTCACTTGAACAAAATTAATAATACTATAATAAACAAAATTATTCGGCCATTTACATTCCATTGCTTCTCACATGATAGATAAAGAGATTAAATTATAGATTGAGTTTACCAATTGACAATTTCTAATGTTATCGTATTTACCCCTCTATGCGGACTTGATAAATCTACACCATAAGCCACTAAAACACTTTTTTATGTAAAAATAGCAATTAGTCGATAAAAAAAAAATTTCAAAAATAATTTGTCTTTCTGACAATGTACTTTTTCTATAATATATATGTTCAATATGATTATTAGACATGATTTCATGCGACAAAACGTTGGATTATTGTTTATAATGCGCTAGTAGAACATACATACGCGCTTTGCACTTAAGTCGTACAAGAGATTTTCTGCTTGAAATATAAATAAATAACTAACAGTTGATACTATTACGATAAAGCTCAAGATTAAGAAAACAAAAGCTCAAGCTAAAGATTTAATACTTTAGATAAAGAGCATAATAACATTACAAACTTATTATTTCATCGGAGGTTAAAACTATACAAGTATCAACGTATTTCTATTTAAAAATTAAAATTTGCATTTTTTTAAATGCTGGGTTTCTTGTTAGTTCTTACCAGGTCAGAGACTTTTATGAACCAGTGGTCAAAGGAAAAAATTACTTTTACAGAAATTATTCATAATCTATGTCAAATAAAAAAATATTTTATTCTATTTTAAAATATGCATAAACAGAAATTGTATATTATTTATCTTATTCTTAAGTTATAATAAACATACTGATAGATGTAATGTATGTAAATATGTATGAAAGTGATGTTTTTATATTTAATTTCACCACATATTATATTGTTAATTAAAATTAATAATAGTTCACAGAGTTTCTTGCTTGTATTTTCCTGGACAGCACTCCCTTACTCAGTTTAACTACAAAAGATTTGTTTTAAAAAAAATTCAGAGAGGAGTAATAAGTTGTTCAAAGCAGACTTTACGAGAGTTGTCAATATTTATTTTTTAATTCTCAGATATGCAGGTTTGCTTACAATGTTTTCTTTCACCGTACAATGCGTAGTAGATATTTACGGTGAGTATTTAGGTACCACGATTCAAACGAATTAAGTGTGAACAGTTCTAATATTAGAGTCAAAATTTTATATGTCATTTATTAAGTTACCTTTATACAGACCCATATTTACTATATTTCTGTAAATACTCACGGATTTTAGGAAAAATCGTTATCTTTGTGTATTGACTGTAGCAGTTGTCAAAGTGGGTCCACGTTGGGCGTCTTACTTTATAAGACTCTATCAAATTTGGCAGTTGAGCCGAAAGCCATTGAACATCCTTCGAATCAACCAATAAATCGTTTTCACTATACATTAATACAACAGGCATATTAGTACGATTGAGGTTATAAAGAGGCGGTTGAACGGTCCCATATAGTTCTAAATTTTTACTTGAACCATAGTCGTATTTCTGAAATCTGCCTACTATAGCGTTTTGACCAAAGAAAGCTAAATTTCGAGCTGACGTTCCAGCAGGGAAATGTCCAAACAACACTCCTATCGTTTCAGTTGAAATTGAACCCGGATCATAAGAATCGATTAAAGCCAACGCTGCTCTACACACAGTTCCTGCCAAAATACTATCTTTGCAAAAGAATGAAGACGCTTTTTGGATCAGTCCACCTTTTTGTAAAACTTCCAACTCACGAGGACCACTTAAAAATGGTACTGTTACCGCATAAAACCGAGTCAGCAACTGTACAGGCACAGATCTCGAGTATTTTACTCTTGCCGCTGGAGCTAGATTAATGGAAACTATTATTTTCTCGCAGTATCCAAATGTTTCTGAGCACATGATGAAAAATATCCGAGCACCCTGTGAGTATCCAACGTAGATTAACTCCGAAGATCCCGTCTCGTTTAGCATGTAGTTAATAATAGCTGGAACGTCTAATGTTCCCATATCGTGCGAGGTAAAATTCCAAAATTGTGAGTGTGTATCTGGATTGAGACGAAGGTTTCTCCTTCCATAATACGTACCACGCACATTTCCAACCCACAGATCATAACATGCGTCTGATATAAGAAACGCGAGTCCTGCTGATGGACCGGCGTCTAACCAAGAATCTGAACTCATTAGCAGTCCGTGCATAAGCAACACCGGGGGTTGCCTTACTCTTCCTCTACAGTTTTTACCCTTCGGTATCCGGAACACCGACAGGATGTACCCATCTTCTGTTATTACAGTATGTTCTTCAGCTGCGTATCCATAATTTCTCGCAAATTCAGTAAAATTTGAAAGTGAATCTCGTAGGTAATCTTGTGATGTTGCGATTTTATCGATTCCAAAGGCCCAGTTCTGCCCAAATATATTTTTGAATATAGCCAAGAATAAAAGCAATAGAAATATAACATCACCGCGTTTGGAAGTCATTTTGTTAATTAAATTCACTTTCATTGACACGACATTTAAAACATGGATCCGTTATCTCAATTTCTTATCATTTCATTTATTTAATTACCTTTATGTAGGTTGAGACAATTGTGCTAGTTTTTGTACTTTCAAGGCCCGTATTACATATTTACGTAATTTATTAGCAGTTCAGAAAGACTATAATGATATATATTTACCTCTGTTCTTACGAAAAATATTTATGTATGATTGAAAATAATTGTCTGTTTAGTGGCAGCGTAAGGATATCAATTACTCTATCATGTCCCGTGAGTTTCGTAAGAAGCGACAAGGTGTCAGAGAAAAACAAAACAGCAGCATCTTCTTAACAACAACAAAACAGAAAGGTTATGGTTACTAACCCGCCTATCAAGCGTAGCAATTATGTCTATACTTTACTATAAAATTACTCTACTATATAAATACTAGGCTGTAAAGGTAAAGGCATCGGCTTACAATTAATATAAAGTATACAAAAATAAAATAAAAGCTCAACTGAATATGAGAAATGAAGTTGAAATTGTGGGCATTCCTGAAAACTTGGGTAAAAATTTGAATAATAATATTATATCATAGTACAAACCATACTCGTAGCAGCAATAAAATTGGGAGTTGACTTAGAAGTTATCTTCTTTAAGGCTTTAGACTAGGTAACATATGTAGGCCCACGCCGACCACCCAAAACTGTTGCTCTGTCAGAAGATAGTGGCAATATGCCACGGCCAGTGGTCGTTAAATTTCTGTGTCGATCTAAACGAGATCAAATCAAAGCATATATATATTATCTCTTTCGCACCTGGAAAATTTATGGTCTCCTAATAGAAACATTTCTGTAAAATATAACTACTTAGACGGTTAAATTAAAGGGAAAAATGGTTTAAAAAATCCATCCCACACCAAAGTTTAGAAAATCATGACGCACGATCGTGAGTTCTCGTGTTTACTTCACCCTACTCATGATAGTGAGTGAGTAGGTTTTTAAGCTATTCTAAGCAATTCAAAGTTATAGTTGACTCATTAAATGTGAGTCTAATTTATTTTATTATAATAAAATAAAAAAAAATATGTAAAAATAACTGTTTATTTTAATCTTTAGTACATATTTCTACCATTTGGTCAAATTGCCAAAGTTTTTTGTAATTATCATAATACTGTATTTCGAATACAACATAATCTTAAAACGCCTTATTTAGTAAACATTTAAAAAACAAAATGCCTTTCGGATAGTACTTATAACGTTATTTTATCAAAAAATAAAATGAGATCCAAATTAACATCTTAGTAATTATCTAAGTACTTATTTTATAATCAGTCTTGTACTCAACTAGCTTTTAGGAACCAACATGGTAGAGGTAAAAGCAGTCTTTACCGCGACTCATACACAGGTATACACTCATACGTCGCATTTTCGGCATCTGATTTTAGTTCGCGATTTGCAGCTCTCCAAACGACAAACGCGAGGGTCCTTCAATTCGTCGAAAATTGGTAAGTGCATGTACCCGTCATACCTTTTTCCCTGTGATGGATTGTTTGCTGGTCTGTATCTTCCTGCAGTAGATCGAGGTATTACGGGATCACCTGGAAATGATGCGCGTTGCTCTCTATTGGGAGTATTTATCAATGTTTCAACCACTTCAAATCTGAATGATAGTAAGTCTTTTATGTCTTTTCCTGCTGCTCCCGTGACTAACAAATCACACCTATATAAGCGCCATGCGTTCACTACAGCCAAATCCATGAAATGGAGTATTACTTTGAGTGTCTATTTGCGTGTTTTTATATAAGTACGGTAGTACTCCGTGGACTGATCCAAGACGTCGACTCCACCCATAAACAAATTATAAGTTTTCACCAGTTTTGGAGCGTCTACATCTATGTAACATTTCTCTTTCTTGTCATAGCGCTGAACTATTTCAATAGCTGTACCACCGGTACAATTGGAAATAGTCAACACTGCTTTGCTGTCCTTCCATTTGACCAAGGCGACATCACCCGAAACTCTTTGATCTATCTCGCCTCTTTTCATTTTGCTGTCATATTTTTCTCTGGCACGTAATTAGCCATTATGGTTCCGGTTCCGTGAAAACCAAGCTGCGACAAGGTAGAGGTACGGTCGTAAAATACCTGTCGAAAAAAATGCAGTTTCCGCGTGGGACACGTATGAGCCGAAGAACAACTGCAGGTCCAAGGCCCAGTGGATGAGCAAGTACAGGGTTATTGCCGTAATATATCTCAAAATCAACCATCAGCCCTTTACTGGTTGTGACGACAAAATTTTTTAAGCCAACGGGCCGGGGCTTGTTCTTAACCAGCTGCCGAAGATGACATTTTCCTGTGAATGGAATCATTTGCTCATCCACTGAATACCTACCTGGAGCGCGCAATATCTTTTCACAGCCATTTTTAACGGCTGTGAGAACTGGTTGTATTTTCCAGAGAGAATTTCTTGCATCTCTTGCTCGCACAGTATCCGTATCAACAACGTGTAAATTATTTCGTAAAAGAGAAAATCTGTCTCGTCGTTGCAGAAGTTATTATATTGATGCTTATATTCCTGCGCCAGTACATGGCATATCTATATATAAGAAAGAATACCCATCAACAGATGAATTCCATACAACCATTTAATTTCCTGTTTATTAGTATTTAAAACTTTGCCGGTATGTCTCATGTAATAGAGATTAGTACAGAGAGCCATGTTTTCGAAAAAATCCTCATTATAATATCTCATTATAATGCACCAAAATATTCGACTGTTGATTGAACTTTGTCCGGTATAGGATGGCCGGGATAATTATGAGGCTTATCAATATAATCACTTTTTTTCCAAATGCGTCGACGTTGTCTAAACTTCACTTTTAATTGTGTGTTTTGTTTAGGTTTCTTTTTGAATTTCCTACTCTTCTTTTGTTTATTTGTTTCTGATGGACTATCACCTTCATGCTCTTTACGAACTAAACTAGAATAACTCTTTTTTGTCTGGTGAGGGAGGAGATTCCTTTTCATGGGCATCATCTTCAGTAGCACCTGGTTGTGGACAAAAATACTCGTCAGCCTCATCGATATCAATATCTGAGCATTCCCCTTTATTAAGTAGGTCAACTACAAGCTCACAGTTCAATGGCATACCTAAAAATATAAAAACAGCCATTTAAACTTAATAAAAAACAGTAAATGTAGGCAACTAATTTTTGTGAGGAGATATAAATAAACCCGAGAGCTCACGTAAGTGAGTTCCTTATTTTGCCACTAACCAAATGGGCCGATACTTTAAGTTAGGTTAAGTCGTTGATACTAATTGATTTATAGATCAATAAAAATGAAAATAACACCTGTACATGAACAAATCAATAAAAAAAAAACATGTAAATAAAACAAATACTTACGACGCTCAGTATCGGGATCGAGAAACACCGCCATTTTGGCCGTACGTGCGACGACACTGACCCCTGAATGCCGCGAAACTATTTTTGATTGGTTATTTGACCAACGCACGATTATGTGGTTCCGGGCGCGTGCGACTAAACAGATTTCCCGCGCTTACATATTATTAAGAAATATCAACTCACTATCGTTTAAGCCAGGTGCGAAAGGTTTATATAAACGCTCACGCCCCTCACCCAGAAGGGTAGGCAGAGACTACAGACTTCCATTAAGCATGATCCTGACATACCTCTTTCGCCTCTTCCACATCCATATACCTCTACGCATACATGCTCGTCGATTAAGGGTGTTCTTTATTTGGCTCATTTTTAATACATCGCCAATTTGGTCAACAAATTGCCTTGGACGTCTTATTCTGACTCTTCCATTCACGATAATTGATAGAATCAGGCGTTACTTTGCGGAAATTCATTATAAAAAATAATTTATTACTTTGCAACCTTCCGCTGACTAATTACAATAATGTGTCTTACCTGGATTTAAGAGCACCTACTGCCCTCTCTACCTCAATTGCATGCACTAACTCCGTCACCACTAGTCCCTGCACCACTACTCCCAACACTACTACTCCCGGAACCACTACTTCCAACACCACTATTCTAGGTAAGATACACCATCGACGACAATACGACACGTGTTTCGCCTCTACACGAGGCATCCTCAGGTAATGTAGACTCTACGGCGACTGACCGCTAAGTAATTACTCTACACGAGGAATCCTCAGGTAATGTAGACTCTACGGCGACTGACCGCTAAGTACTTAGCAAGTACTTAGTCCGAAGCAAGCGGAAGGTTGCAAAGTAATAAATTATTTATTCTTCCATTCATTTCTGCAACATATATTTGCTTTGTCAGTCTTTCTCCATTCATTCTTTCTATATGAGCAAACCACCGAAGCATTCCTTTTTTAATCCTGATCACCGCATAATCTTACAAACCACAATCTTCTTTTATTACACAGTTTCTCACCATGTCACTCCGATTCAGCCCTAACATACTCCTTAGCGACCGCATTTCGACTGCGTTTATTCTACTCTCATGCTTCTTCTGCCACACCCAAATTTCACTACCATACGTTAAAGTAGGGACCAACACAGCATTGTGAATTGCCATATGTGCTTTTTTGACACATTCCGACTTTTCACAATAGAGTGTACAGCCCCATTTACTTTATTTCCTGCATTTATTGGTCGTTCAATATCCTTATCATATCTCCCATCCCTGCTGAATACACATCCCGAATATATAAATTCATCTACTTGCTTGACCATATCACCTTCTATTTTTATTTCACATATTGTTTTACTTTCTTTTCTTTCAAAAACCATAACTTTCGTCTTACTTGCATTCATTTTCATTCCCCTTTCTTTTAATGACCTGATCATTACTGTAACCATCATTTGCAAAGCGGCCGCCGACGACGCAAGTATGAATTGATCATCGGCGTACAAAAGGCATTCTTAACCCGCATTCTTCAACTTTTAAATTTTCCAAACAGTTGTCCATAAATAGGTTGAACACGGGGAAGCTACACAGCCCTGTCTGACACATTTATGGATGCCAAACCAGTCCAAGTAGGCCCCGTTGATCCTAACACAAGCACTCGAGTCCCTATACAGAGACTTTAGTGCCTGTATCAACCCAGCGCTCAACCTAAATGAGTTCAGCGTCTGTCATAACACATCCCTGTCCACTCTGTTATAAGCCTTTTCCAAGTACATGAACGCACAAAAACTTTTTGGTTTTTCGCCAAAAACTTCTCCACGATTATGCGCATGGAAAAGACTTGATCTGTACACCCCATTCCCTTTCTAAATCCAGCTTGCACATCTCAAATTTTTCCATCAGTTTCTTTCATAACTCTTTCAATTAGTACCTTAGCATAAAGTTTTCCCACAATACTAAGAATTAGGACTATCACGGCTTTGCACCAGTCTTCTGGTACTTGCTTTAGTTCCCAATATATTGTCTTTCTGACACAACGTATTGTCTTTCCTTTCATTCGTTCTCTTACTAACACCACATACTACGGTAGATGCATCCACTAAACGTCTCTTAATATTATTCCACACATTCTCCAAGTGTAACTCATTCACACACAATTCATCCAAATCACTTATATTTTCTGTCAGGCTACATTTGTACTTGTCTTTCACACCTTCATCTTGTAGCCTCTCAATTCTTATACGCTGTAACACAGTGGTAGTCACAAATGTCCTATGCTGCCAAAGTCTGAATAAATCCCTAATTCAGCATAAGACCCTACAAAGTGGTCCGTCCCTACGTTGGACCCCCGGTAAACCCTCCACCACCACTGCGCTCCTCATTCTATCATCCACAGTTATGAAATCTATCATGCTTCTATCACCACCTTTTTCCCAAGTATACATGTGAATCTTCTTGTGACGAAAGCAAGTGTTCGTCACAAAAATATTCCTTTCCATACATACGGTGAGGAGGCTTCCACCATTCTCATTAATACTTTCATCACCAAACGTTCCCAGTATCCTTTCATAGCCAAGCCTCCTCATCGCAAACTTCCATTAAAATCTCCTAACATAACAATGTTTTCATTTTCCTTACATTTCATTAATACCATCCTTACCATCTCCCAAAATTGCTCCCGGATATAAGTGGGCGTAGACATGTCTGGGGCGTAGACTCCTAGAACAAACAACTTCTTTAGGCCCACTTTTATTCGTATCCATAGCAGTCTCAGGCTTACACATTCATACTCTTTCACACATTGACCCATTCTTTCTGAAATGATGATACCGACTCCCTAGCATGCCCGCTCGGTCTCGTCTACACTGCACCAGTACGCGGTATAAATGCCATATGTAGTGACATCCTTTCGCTTCCTCTTCGTCTCATTTACACATAATAAATCTGTTCTTCTATCATACATCATATGGCATACTTCATGACAAAGCTCAGATCAAATCAAAGCTTCAGTTAAAAACTTGTGTTTTTAGTCAAGTCTTTGCTGAACAAAGTCTTAGATTAGGGGCGGCTAAATCTAGTTCAGTTCAATCCCCAGAAGACACAATTTTGCGCGTTTACCGCTAAAAAGAACCCATTTGTCGTAACTCCTTATTTTAAAGGCACTCCCCTTACTGCCTCAGCTAGCATCGGAATCCTCGGCGTCGATCTATCGAATGACGTGCAGTTTCGTGGTCACTTGGAGTGGAAGATCAAATTGGCCTCAACTTGGCGCTTATAACTTTAAAAAGAGCAAGGTTGGCCTCATATGGAATACTGTTCTCATCTCTGGGCTAGAGCATCCCAGTGCCAGCTCTTTCCATTTGCCACTCATCGTCGGCGACCGAGCTCTGTCGATCGGCTTGACTCGCTAACACCGCAAACAGATGTTGCATCTCTTTGCGTATTTTATCGCATCGACCACGGTGAGTGCTCTGAGGAATTACCCGAACTAACTCCAGGCGTACAAGTTCACCATCGCACATCATGACAAAACTCGCGATACCATCCATTCCATCTGGATGAATGGTGGTCCACCAATGTAAGATTTAAAAGAAATTTTTTTTCTCGCACAACTTCCTTATGGAATCAACTACCACCAGAGATTTTTCCAGACTTATACGACTTAGGGATCTTCAAGAAAAGAGCCTACTCCTTTTTAAAAGTCGGCAACGCATCTGCAATTCCCTTGGTGTCGCAGTTGTTCAATCACTTACCATCAGTTGATCCGTATGCTCGTTTGCCCCCTTTCCTATAAAAAAAGGAAATACTAAAATCTGTATTTTACGCCCTTTTTTAATCGCTGAAAACTAAATGCGTTACGTTTTGGGTAGTGTGTCCAAAATATATTGCAAAACACATTGCTCAGCGAGAAGTTTTAAAGGCAATGCTATTATAACCATACAGATACCCTACTGCAAGCGTATACAAAAATACCGGAGCAGCCTTAGCAGGAAAAATGCGTATTATATTCCCGTGATCACAAGCTACTGACAAATCGCAGGTTTTACAAACTATCCATACGATATGTTAATACTAAATTTACACAACGTTTTTTCGATTTGAGCGACTTTCATCATCGTCATCATTACAGCCCTTCACAAGTCCATTGCTGAACACAGGCCTACCCCAAGATACGCCACAAACCACGGTCCTGAGCCACCTGCATCCATCGAATTCCTGCATGTCTTACCAGGTCGTCACTCCATCTTGTGGGGGGTCACCCTACACTTCGCCTACCGGTACGAGTCTGCCACTCGAGAACCCTTCTTACCCAACGGTTGTCGGTTCTTCGAGCTATATGGCCGGTCCATTGCTATTTTATCTTACTAATCCATTGGGATATGTCGGTCACTCTGGTTCTACTGCAGATGTCCTCATTTCTAAGTTTATCACGCAGAGAAACTTCGAGCATAGCCCTCCCCATAGCTCGCTGAGTGACTTTGAGCGAGCTCATACGGCCAGCAATGAAGGACCACGTCTCGGTTCCGTAAGTCATCACTGGCAACACGCACTGGTTGTACAACTTAGTTTTCAGGTTTTGAGATATACCTGACGAGAAGATGCGTCTTAATTTCCCGAACGCTGCCAGCCGAGTTGAATCCGTCGATTGACCTCTCAGTCGAAGTTGGACTTACCTAGTCGGACTAATTGTCCCTGGTGTCTCCCAACAACTACCGGCATAAGTGTTACATGGACATTAAACATGATCTTTGTTTTGTCCATGTTCATCTTAACACCTATCCGTTGGGAGGCACTATTGAGGTCATTGAGCAAGTCCTCCAGCGATTCTGCCATAAGGAATATATCGTCGGCAAATCAAAGGTGAGTGATGTACTCGCCATTGATGTTAATACCATATCCTTTCCAGTCCAGTAGCTTGAAAATGTCTTCCAATGCAGCGGTGAAGAGTTTCGGGGAAATAACGTCACCCTAATTTCTTAAATTTACGCGAACACTACACATTGAAATAATACTAGTTTTTACGGATTTTA